AACCTGGGACCCTTCAGTCCGCAGGCCGATGCTCTATCCACTGAGCCAAACCGGTTTCGGCGCATCTGGTCCTTTTTAAAGGACTGAGAGGGTTGGAAGGTGGTGAGGGAGTGGGAGTCAGGTTCTCATTTTTAGGGGAACTGAGCAGTGGCGGGCACCTTGGGCCAGCTTGGAATCAAGCAGATGTGTGCTGACCAGACACTTCCTGGCTTCACCAGTGTTGAGAACCATGGCAGCAAAAGACAATTTTAGGGTTTTTTGTTTTTTTTTTTAATAGGCAGGGCTGGTGTGTCATCCCAGGAACTTAGGCATGATTTTCCGTGGTGAGGGATGAGTCTTAGGCCCCAGGTGGACACACCACAGATAAGGTGTGCAGGTTCCACCCAGAGTGTATGGCACTATAGAGACTGCACGTTGGCATCAAGGAAAGACCTATTTCTGCTTTTGTTGATGAAGTGGCTACGGGTCACGCCCGATGCACGCACCTGACCTGGCTCCCGAGGCTTCGGAAACATTTCCAAGGTCTTTCAGTGCTAAGTGCCAAGAGGATGCATTGCTCCCTCACTCTCAGGGTTTTGTTTGTTTTTCCCCCTGTATTGGTAGCAGGAACTATTTAACTGACAGCATTTCCATTCTCTCTTTGGCCTCCTGGAAGCTCAAAACCAAATTCTTAGATCAGGCATGGCAACTGTGTCAAACCTCACCACAGCTACAACCAGAGAGAGTATTTATGGCATGTGACCTTTGTTCCATATGCTGTTAAACGTCCTTTATTTCTATCATCCTATCGATTCTTTGCAGCAACCCTGTGAGGAAGGTACCACTGTTTAAATATAGGGAAGCTGAAGCTCTTTGAGGTTAAACCACTTACCCAAGTTTACCTAACCTGTGGGTTGTAGAACTGACCTTTAGACTGGATAGTCTGACCCTGGGGTTCATGTTCTTGAACCTAAACCTCTGCTAGGGACCCTGATTGCCAGAATATCTGGGTATTTTTATTCTTCACTAGAGGCCCGGTGCACAAAAATTTGTGCACCAGAATATCTGGGTATTTTTATTCTTCATGATCATAACTTTAAAACACCCCCCCCGGCCCCCCCATCCTGATTTTCTTTATCATTTGTATTTTGCAATGTCTCTGGGGAACTCTTTGAGATCCTTCGTATGAACAAGTCTCCCCATGATGAATGTACCTGTGCTGCCCTTAGTAAGGGAATGGAAATCCCACATGCCTGGGAGGGGGCCCCGGCAGCTCCTGAGTTCCCAGACTCCCTGATGCGTCCGAGCTGGAGCAGACCCGAGGCCGGAAGGGAAGTTCTCAGTCGCGGTGTGGAAGGGTTTTAGTTCTCCTCACTCCCCCTGAGAATGTTTCTCAGCGTGAGGGGAGAGACCAAAGGCAAGGGGAGACTCCAGTTGCCTCTCCCTGGCCTTGTGATGACTTTGGCTGGGGAGCCCAGCCTGCTCAGGTCCCGGCCTGAAGTTCTTTCTTTGCTGTTTTCTGAAGGCGAGTGAAGCTGAGCTGGCTGTTCCAGAATGAACCATAGCGCTGAGAAGGGGAAGTAGACCCCGCTGGTTCTCTGCTATGGCCTGTGAGCCGCAGATGGGCCCTGGCGGGGCCGCCGGCCCCTTGCCCACCTCCTCTCCTGGCTGGAGTGCCCTGCCGGTGGGGAGCCCTCCTGGCTGGGGGCAAGGTAAGGCCATGACCTCAATTCCTCCCCCTCTGACTCCGACCCCCGCCCCACTACTCTCCCCAGGATCCTGAGTATGGAGGGAGGGCAGTGGAGGGACACAGAAGTGCCTTTAGATGAGGGTGGGCATTTGGGGATTTGTTCCCAGGCCAGTGTCTGTCATCTCTATTCATTCTCTCTGTCACTACCTCCTTAGATCAGGCCACCATCACCCTCTGCTTGGATTTTTGCTGTAGCTTCCTAGCTGATCTCATCCCCATCTTGCCTCTTCTATCCATTCTTTATTTTTATTTATCTAAAAAAATATATATTTTTATTGATTTCAGAGAGGGAGGGAGAGAGATAGATACATCAATGATGAGAGAGGATCATCGATCGGTTGCCTCTTGCACGTCCCCGACTGGGGATTGAGTCCGCAACCCTGGCACATGTGCCCTGACTGAGAATCAACTGTGATCTCCTGGTTCATAGGTCGATGCTCAACTGGCCAGGCTGCTATTCATTCTTTATATGGCATCCAAAGAGATCTTTATTTATCTTTAAAGATTTTTCTTTTAATATTCCATGAGATATCTTTTTTAAAAATAAATCTTTATTGTTGAAAATATTATATATATCCCCTTTTCCCCCCATTTCCCTCTCCCACCCCTCCCCAAACCTTCACCACCCACTGTCTGTGTCCTTGGGTTATGCATATATGCATATGAGTTCATTGGTTGATCTCTTTGGTTAATGCCATGAGATATCTTGATTGTATACTTTCCAAAGTACTTTTCCTGCCACATCTTCCAAAAGATTCCATTTGTCTTTCCAGTGCAATAAAAGATGCTGGATTCTAGTTCTGTCCTAACTTCTCTTTTTTTTTTATCTTTATCTTTAAATTCTTAATTAGTTAAGGAATTACAAATGTGTCCTCATTCCCCCGAAAGATGCTGGATTCTAGTTCTGTCCTCGCTTCTCTTTTTGAGAGCACTATATTCCTAATGACTTCAATACATACATTATCTAATAAGGAGAAACATTTACAACTATCAGAAAGATGTGCATTACTTTTGAATGGAATCAGCATTTTGTGGGTTTCCAAAAAGGCAGCAGTTTGAAATCACGACTGGTGACAAGCACGTGTCTGCTGAGGCAAGGGCCAGAGGGCACAAGGGTTCCTTTTTTTACTACTGTTATTAGGAAAGCAATTTGCACATACACAACAGTGGAATGAAACGGAATGAAATAATTTTTCTTCAAAACTTTGAAGACATTACTTCACTGATTTTTGGCAAGCCAGTTCTTATTTTGTAGGA